TAAAATAATAAATTAAATATATTTTTTTCTTTTTTCGTGATTTCCTGCGAAACAAAGCAAAAAGGAGCATATGTCTATAGGACTTTTTTTCTTAGTTTTTTACTCCTCTACACGCTCCCGAAGTTTTGCCATTTAATTTGGAAACATATTGTAAATAATTGTAATTTTTGTCCAAAAAAAAAAAAATTACAAATTTTTTTGTATACAAGATATATACCTCTTTATAATCATTGTAAAGCGTATGAAGCAGACTTATCCTGTAAAAACCACATCGTATATTTTGTTTCAACAAGGCTTCTGCATTTTTTTGCTTTATTGTCCCAGAATATATTAAAATCAAAATAATTAAATCCAATGGTTTTGGATTTTTATTAATATTTTTTATAACTGTTATCGCAGTATCCGTCACGTCTTTAGCTAATAACATACACATCTTTAATGTTTTAACTATTCGTACTTGATTTTTGTAACAGTTTTTAGCTTCATCACCAGCAAGAGGCTGCATTTCTACATTACGCAATATAAGCAACATTTGTTTGATAATATCAGAACATACACAATCGTTTAAAAGAAATCTGCAAGACAATTAAAAAAAATATATATTATATTATTATAACTAAATATTAAAAGCACAAATAATAAAGAAATTTGAAATTAAATGTACCTGATAATAATTGGTATAAGTTCTAGTTTTATATTTGTTTTTAACAAATGTAATATTTTAATTTGATATTCTTCCAAATACTCCTTGCCAAGATTAAAACTCGCAACACAATTCAAAATTGCATTTATCAACTCGCAATTTTCCTCCAACATTTTCGTTAAAACTTCAACGATAATCTGATGCTGAGCATCTGACAAAATATCAGGCAGAAATAAAATAAGTTCACATTGAAACCACGATGGACATGTTTCTAATAGCTGTTGTATGTTTGTAGTTAGTATATCAATATCAGTTATAGTATCCAAAAAACGAAATTGTTGTAATAATAATACAGCCCAAGGTATCTCCTCTAGAGTATCTCTATATAAAAATACATGCAATATGTATTTATTAAAATGTGACTGTCTTTTTTCAATATTACAATCCACAAGACATATAATAACAAATAAATTAAAATACAAATTTGATACAGACTGTGGGAGTCAAAACAATTATGTGTGAAAATAGACTATATATTTTACAATTTATTCATAAGAATGGTTGACTCTCACAATCGTTGTTTCAAAATCGTATTTTGAATTTTATCTAAATATATTTTTTATTTGACGCATACTTTTAGGAATGATAGCTTATAACATTTTAAATAACCCACTTTGTATATACATGTACATTGTGTCTGTAAAGATTGAAACTAAATTTATATAGTGTGTTAATCAAGTAAATAAAAAAATGTTCGTGTATACTTATATCCAAAAATGATTCATTAAAGAGTTATAAGCATTCAAAAATCTACAAACAAAATTTTTATTAATATGTCATGTTTATGCGAAATTGATAAAAACAGAGAACCAGTTTTGGTAGTATATCTCAAAATGTATTATTTATTATAATTTTTAATATATACAGGAGGATTATTCAAAAGAATTCAACAATCATTAATTTAATAAATAGAAGTCTGCATTCCTGTAGAACACATTCCCAAAAACTATTATAATTTATGAAATATGAATCAAGATATGTATGTAAATAATAACTGAAAATCATTTGCTTCTGAGTCAATGATTTTCTCTTACAAATTATAAGAACAGTTCTGCTCACAATCATTGAATGTTTATAACTTTTTAATAAAGCATTGTCAGACATAAGTTCATATGAGCTCTTGTCATCTACTTGATAATCTCTCATTAACACACTGTATTAATTTGATACCAATCTTTACAAATGAAGACACACATATATACATGAATATATATGTTCATTAAGAATTAAAACCATTTCAATAAATTCAAATTCTGATAGACATATGAAAGAAAATCTTTTTCACTTATTTGTAAGTAGATTATTATAATTTGTCAAAAATATTTGAATTCAGATTTCATAAAATTATATAGATTTCACTACTTACACTAAAAGAACAGATTCATTAAGTTTAGATATGAACATATTATATACATCTGCTTGAATTTCTGGAACTTCTAACAGAATTCTTGCAAGAGTTGTTTTGCTTAGAACACTGAAACTATTATTATCAGTAGATTTTTCCATATCATTTAACATGTTCACAAAATTTTCTTCACGTATAATATATTCCTCTATCGAATCAATTACATCCTTTTTTTTGTATTGCTTTGAATTTAAAACTTTTCTCATCTTCCATTTGGCAATGGATGGAGGAACAACTGTACAAAAGAAATTTAACATGTAGAATATAAATTTTCCTTATTTTCAATTAAAAAATAAAAGATGCACATACTAAGGAAACTTACCAAGTGTATGTATGTCAGTTGACAATATGATACCACATTTTTGTAAAAAATTAAAAAAAATAGATGGTTCCTGAAAAACTTGCTTTTTTGAAAGATGTTGCTTATTTGACTTTGAAGCTGGTTGCAATTCTTTATCTTGTTTTTTCTGAGAAATACGAGGTTCTATAAGTGTTCTACTAGTGGATGATTCTTGATATATTTTTCTAGGAGAACTATGACTGATATTAGTATCTGGAGTAATACACTTTGTGTTTCTATTAAGTGCAGTTTTATTCTGTTTCTTCTTTGCAATGTTACGATCATTGTATGAAAAGTCAAAATTATTATCTGAAGCTGAATCTTCTGATAAATAATTCACACTTCCACTTCTCGATGTAACTGATTTTTCTACAGATGGATTAGCAGTGTCCAAAGTCTTATTTGTCATCTTTACACGGTTTCTTGGCAAATGAATATTCTCTTGGCTAGAAGATGTATTTGCCGACGCTTGACTATTAAGTTGTTTCGATGTCCTCAATACTTTAGAGGTAACTGGATACTCATCTGTTTCTGATATATTCTCAGTATCACAAAAATTTCTTTTTTTACCTTTAATAGATAAATTCTTTTCTTTGGAACTAATATTTAAGAGTTTTAATGTTGTTGACCTGCTATCTGACAATCTGCCTTCAAAAAAAGATTCACTCCTTTCCTGTGTTGCAACATTGGTCACGTAAGAATCTATTTGTTTATCGCTAGAGTCATTTCTCTCCAACGATTGATTACTTGATTGTACATCTTTATGTAAACTGTTTCTTAATATCAATTTTCTTTTATCCATAGTGAATTTAGAATTCCTTTCGGTTTCTTAATTAATATTCTCAAAATAAGAAAGTGCTTAAATCGATTCAAAATAGCACTTTATAATGAGTGATACTTAGATAATTAAGAAATCAAATTTCTCTTTCTAAATTGTATTTTACAGTACTCAAAACAAGAAATACGTTATAACAATTTTTTTGAACCAAACTTAACTGCACTACGTTGATCAACTCTTGACCATAATATAAAAAGAAGGTAATCTACTTGGAATTATTCAATTATTCCCTAGATTTCTATTGTTTGTTCTAGGGAAAACGGAATAATTCCGAGATCGAAATTAGGTCTGTTCGTGTTGCTTGCACTTTTGGCACTCGGCATCTTCGCTTCCTCTCTTTTCAAGGCCAAATCTATATCTATCCCATTTTAAGTGCAAAAATATTTGGGGATTTCGTGCAACGCGAACAGACCTATTCATTCCCACTGCTTTCCATTTGATGACACAAATCGACACAAGCGTCGTTCTATTCTTTTTGGACATTCAGAGAATGACAAAGATAAAACGATAAGCTGGAAAAACAATAGACACAGGCAATAGGCACGGGCAACAGGGAATAACGAGCCGTCCAATCAGAGCTCTGGAGTATAAGTTCGATATTATATCCCAGAGCTGTGATTGGACGGCTCGTTAT